ACAAAGTGAGACTTCACTTAAAAAAGAAAAAATAGAAACAGGGCTTTCTAGATACTTTTCAATACAAGAGCACTTTTGTGACCCAAGTCTTTTTCTATGCTACTTTTCAGAAAGGAATTACATTGCTCAGCCATAGAGCACTTGATGTGTTCTGGAATAGTTACTTCTTTCATAAGTATGAACCCAATTATAAGTTCCATTTTGCCACTTTCCTAAGGAAGCATTGGTAATAATTAAGGATAATGACTTGGCTTAGTCATTAGCAAACCCATAGTAGTGCACTTGAGAATATTATGACATGATTGGTGTCCTCCATGGTAGTGCACTTGAGAATATTATGACATGATTGGTGTCCTCCTCTGATGTGGAAAGAACCACCCTGGAAAATATGCTATTTTTTAATCCTTCATTTAGTCACAGTTGCTTAGCTGTAGTGTTCATAAAACAAATAATACTCAGGAAGCGAATACAATCTTATATGTGTACTACATCTTACAAAATCAGGTCATTGATATTTTATCAATCTTAGCAGAGGATTTAATCTGGGAATCTGTAAATCAAATAATGTAGAAACTCAACAAAATAACTGTGGCAACACACAATGTCATTTTTCTGGCATTTCACATATTTGAGGTCTTTACTGGTATTTCTTTATACTCAAAAGCATAGTAGCTAACATGCATTTGGCACTTAGGTGTGTGCCAAGCAGCACGCAGTTACCTGAGTAACCTGAGTTACCTCACTTAATCCTTACTATAATCCTATGTGAAAATTTAATACAGCTACAGGGAGAAATAAAAAAATCTACTATTAGAGTAAGAAATTTCAAGATTTTATTTTTTTGAGTTGGAGTCTCACTCTGTTGCCCATGCTGAAGTGCAATGGGACAATCATGGCCACCCCAGCATCAACCTACTGGGCTCCAGGGATCCTTCTGCCTCAGCCTTCCAAATAGCCGGACCTACAGGCATACAGTACCAAGTCCAACTAATTTTTGATGTATTGTAGAGACGAGGTCTTATCAAGTTGCCCAGGTGGGTCTCGAACCCATGGGCTCAGGCAATCCACTCGCCTTGGCTTCCCAAAGTGCTGGAATTGCAGGCTGAGCCACCGAACCCAGTCAGTTCTTTTTTTTTTTTTAGTATTCTATAAATCCCCTACAAGTTATTGTGTTCTGAGATAAATCTTACTATTCTACTGTTCTATACTTTTAATGATAGAAATAATTTAGAAACTAGAACGTTTGATGCTATTTAAGTACCTTGATTATTTCAGACATCTGTGAGATAACTGAAATCTAATTGTGGAATTTTGTGTTTGTCATGTCTCAGAGACCCATCACCATCAAGATGGAAATCATACTGATGAGGTCATCTGAAACTTTATGAGATAAGAAAGAGAGAGAGAGAGAGAGAGAGAGTTACAGTGGTTTAGGGGATGGTAGTGGTGATATTGTTTACTTGAATAGCCCAGTCCTTCACAATAGTGTAGTTATTTTTATATATACAATTATTACTGATATCAGCATTTTTATGAAAAGACCTATTAAGTACTCTCTGAAAGAAACATGTCATTTTTGTATGATAAAACAATTTATTTGTAAAGCAGAGTATAATAGAGTTTATTACGATTCACATTTTTTAGTATTTGTTTACACTGCAAAATTATCCAAAGATAACATTTTACTATGTAGTTTTACTTGTAACTTGACAAGAATTATATGAAAAAAAATAATAAAAGGAGAAAAGACTGGGTGTATTTGTTACTTGGCTGGATTTATGTATTTCTTGCTGTATTTTCATCATGTGCTCGAAATTTTCAATTAAAATATTATATTTATTTAAAGGCTAAATTCAGGGAAATGATGCTACTGTGCTAAAAAAAAAACAGCATTAGCGTTGGAATTCCTTACTCTTCTACTGTCATCTGGCAATTGTAAATCAAATAAGGTAGAAATTCAACAAAATAATTGTGGTGAAGCACAATGCCCATTTTTCTGGCATTTCACATATTTGGGGTCTTTACTGGAATTTCTTTATGATCAAAAGCATAATAGCTAACATGTATTAAGCACTTAGGTGTATGCCAAGCACTGAGTTACCTGAGTAACTTGAGTTACCTCACTTAGTCCTTACTACAATCCTATGTGAAAATTTTATACAGCTACAGGGAGAAATCGAAAATTTATCAGAGTAACAGATTTCAAGATATATTTTCTCAATCAAAGATAGAGAAATTTCACCAAAAAACTCAATGAAGATACAGGCAACGTGAGCAACACACTAACAAGTTTCATTTAATTGTCATATGTAAGCTTTTTCAATCAGGAGTTAGAGAATTCATAAATCAAGTCTAAAACATGCTCTTGATTTCACAGACAAAGAAACTGAGGCATGAGAAGCTTAATAACTTGCCAGAAAACCAAGTTAGTACATGCATAAACCCAGATAGTTGAGTCCACATGACTATCACCCTTATTATCTGTCTACATGGCTAAAAAGCAAAGAACTGAATTTTAATGAGATCATGTTAAAAATAATCAGGAGAAGTGAACTAGAGATTAAACTAAATTTATCTTTTGAAGCAAAGATGTTGGACAATTGAGATTAACCAATTGACATGTATGTCACCTATAAAGCTAGACTGAGAAGAAAATAATTTAAACCACACTTTAAAAGTAGATTATAACAGTTGCCAAATGTCTAAATAGCAAAAGCAAAACAAGAATGGCATAGTTTGAATTATTGTCTTAAATTAATTCCTTTTAATAATTCAGCGTTATTGGTCATGTTTAGGACCTGTGTATTAAGTAGAAAGACATTCACTGGTATTTCACAGTCACATCAAATCCTTTATTTCCAAAACTGAACTCAAAAACACACCCTCTCACTTGCTCCTTCATCTGCTGATCTCTGTCTTAGTCTTTCACACTACTACCCACCAATACATTACATATGTTAGAAATTTGGATATCACCCATTAAAAGTTAGAAACCTGGGTGGCATATATGAAAACTTGGAAACCTAGGTGACATATATGAAAACTTAGAACCTGGGTGACATCCGTGAAAAGTTAGAAACATGGGAGTCATCTATAAAATCTCCTTCACCGTCTATCTTTGATAAATTTAAATGAATTTCTTGAATGAAGTATCATGTTAACCGTAATATTTTAATGCCCAGTAATTAATATGGTGATAGTCAGAGAGGGTTTAAAAACAAACACTCTGCTGGTGTTTTCTAATGTATTTTGGTTTCTGGCCACACTATTCCATTCCCATACAAGGTTTTGTTGTGTTTTGTGCAGTTTGGTGGTGGTGATTGTGGTGAACCTGATTATATTCAGGCAGATCCACTGTAGAATAACTGAGATGCTTTGCCTCTCCACGAAGGCACTGTGCATGTTGGTAAATACAGCATATTGCCTTTGGCACACACACTCTCAGCAGTGTTGCAGTGTTGCCCTCTTTAATTATGTCTCCTGGGAAAAAATTTGTTTCTTAGCAAGGCAGCTTTCCTAATCAAAGACTTCCTGGGTCTCCAGTAATAAGAAACTCAAATGTTTCAACCTAAAACATTAATTGGGCATGTATTTTAATCTCCTTTAGGGTTCAAGAAACTCTAAATGTTACACATAAGAAAATATTTCATGAGGGACAAAAGGAAGATTTCACACATTTTGATCCCTTTTTATTTAAGAAAAATTACAAGTAAACCACAAGCATCAGTATTAAAGCTTAAATAATTTTTCTCTTTACTTTGAAATTAATGCTTCTTCCCTGATATTTTAATTATCATTATTTTTCATTCGTACCTTTGTCTAGGTATGAAAAATTGTGTATGGTTAAAAGATAGAGGAAGATGCCTTGAACAGGTAAACAGGAGACCTAAATTCCAATAGAATAATTAGAGTAAGATTAATCCCACCCCACAATCTCCCACTCCAGGGAGGTAGGTAACAGAAAAAGAGAAGGATTATGGCTTGAACTCCAGGAAAGACCATTATTAAGGGGGCAGAAGAGGAAGAAAAAATTAGCTGGGAACAGTGCAACAAGAGACAAAAAGCAGGGTTTGTTTGTTTGTTTGTGCTTGGCATGGAGGGTTAAAGGACAGCTTCAGGTTTCAGGGTAGGAAATGTAATTAACATGGTTATGCCACAAGTTTAAATTTAGAAATGTCTATCTTTCAAATATGGCATCTATTCTACAAATTTGTATAACTATAATGAGATTATAAATCCACTTATTCCATCTCACCTATCTGACTTCTCCATTTTTTAGAACTACTATTATCTCAAAGTTAAAATCTTCATGTCATCCCTGATTAATTCATTCCCACCTACTTATCCAGCACATCTCTAGATCTTGGTTTGTTTTATTTTTTTTTTTTTTTTTCCTGGTTCTTTTAAATCCCTCCCTTCCTAACATCTCAGCTAACCAACATCCTAGCACAGGCCTCAATGTTTATGCCTCACACTTACATCATTCCATAATTACATTTTGCAAGCCAACCTTACATGAGCTTCCTCCAAATACCATTTCTGACATGTTTTAATAGTTAGTGTTTACATCCTTACTATGCTAAATGTGCTATTTCATTTAATTCTTATAACCCATTTTATACTTTGCAAATAAGAAAATTGATCTCTAGAGAGTTTGAATAACTCACCCAAGTAACTATGTAGAAAGGTGTGTCTAAATCCAAAACCTGAGCCCTTATCTACTGTTGCATTATATATCCTGTGGCCATGTATAAATAAGACTCGAATAACCAGTCTCCAGGAGATAAAACTGGGTAAATTAGTCCAAAAGTCCATTAATGTCACCCAATGGACAAACATTTATCCAAGATATATATATACTTTTGGCTTTTTCTTCCTCTTTATTTCATATTCCCACCATAATAATGACTCCTTTAATTTAAACTAAAAACCATAAAGGGTTCCTGAAAGGGTGACAGCAAAGGAAAAGGAGAAGTCAAAGACTTAGGGACTGGTGGGGTGGGGAATCAACGAATTGTCTTGACTGGGCTCTTGAAGTTGCTGGCGGCTTGGAGCTGCAGCTGGTATGCCATCGGATGGATCTTGAAACCGTAGAGCCTGGGCACAAACTGGTTGGCAGGTTGCTTGGGCCAGTACGCAGGATGCACCATGAAAAGCATGTGAAGGAAACCAGTGCCCAAGTAGGCGCCATCTGTGTGATGATGTCTTGATGGCTTGGGTGTGTATACATCCATGTACTTAGGGCAGTAGAGCTTCACCGTGGCTTCACCTGGGATGTCCAAAAGGCCGATGGGAAGGAAGCATTGGCTGGTTCTCACAGTAGACACGGGGGACTGTAACCAAAGTCTCCCTGCTGGTACTTTTCCAGCATCTGGGCGATGCCACGGTTGATGAGGATGTAGCGGGTGTGGATCAACCCATAAAGCATCTCAGCTGCCTTCTCAATCAGGTCACTTTCGTTGGGGTTGTCTTCCAGTTCTTTATCAGGTTCCAGGACCAAGATCATGTCTAGAGCTTGTCGATAGTGAGACACCTGCGCATTGAGTCCAGTAAGATTAAATTTGTCCTGGAGGTAGTCTTCATCCACTTCACAGAAGAATTCATTGCCACGGAGCCCACAGAATCAAGAAATCTTATCCAGCAAGTCTAAAACATGCTCTTGATTTCACAGACAAAGAAAGTGAGGCTGCTCATCCTCACGTCAGTGGTTGGACGGGGATCAGGACTGGGGTAGGGGAGGGGAGTCACTACTTCCAGGGAATGGCTACAGCGCAGGCCGTAGACTCAACCGCCGCAGGTGAAGTGGGGCGGGAGGAATGGAAACTCTATCCAAGATTTTTTTTTTTTTTTTTTGAGTTGGCGTCTCACTCTGTCGCCCAGACTGGAGTGCAGTGGCCGCTCCCGGCCACCGCAGCCTCGACCTGCTGGGCTCTGGCGATCCTTCCACCTCAGCCTTCCGAGTAGCCAGAATTACAGGCGTGTGCTACCACGCCCGGCTGATTTTTTGATTTATTGTAGAGATGAGGTCTCGCTGCCCAGGCGGGTCTCGAACCCGCGGGCTCAGGCCATCCACTCACCTCAGCCTCCCAAAGGCGCGGGATTACAGGCTGAGCCACCAAGCCCGGCTATCCAAGATTTTTAAGCAGAGGCTGGAGAGACAGGCACATGACCATGTTCTGCTGTACTAAATGGTTCTGATAGACAAATAATGATTGGATTAGAGAGATTTGAATCTGGAGCCATCCTTGGTACCGCTGGTGCCGGGGCAGTGAGCCCTACAGGAGCCGTTGCCTTCACTGCATGGTATATTCTTACTGAGTTTATCTGCTTCCCAGACTTCCTTCTAGACACCCTTCTATTGCCACCTTCCTGGAGGAGAACTGAGTCTCTCCACACTCTTACATCCTCTTCTGGAAAGACTTTGGGTATTGCAAGCCTGCCATGTGGTGCAGACCGTTGTGCAGTGATTCTCATTCTCACAAAATCTTGCTGAGGTGTTTCTGCCACCATTCCAAAGATGAAGAAGGTTCACAGCGTCGATGTCACTTGCTGCTCTAGATTGCATCTGAAGCATGTTCCTGTTACCAGTGCTTGGTACCTAGTAAATGCTCAATAAATGTGCAACGAGTGAATTAATTACCTTTGCCTGTTCATATGTTTTGTTTAATTGAAAAGATTTAAGACACCTGGATAACAGGAATTATGCTTTCCATGGCTTTGTACCCAGCAATGTGTATTGTTCACAGCAAATAAAAGTACTTTATTTATTTTACAGGCTTTAGTGTTATGTTGTTTTCCTCTTCTGAATGCAAGATACTTTAGAGTAGACTTTTAAGTGGTTATTTTTTTGCCAGAAATCTGTAGGACACCAGGCTCTCTTGGGAGACTATTTCTACCCTAGAATTATATGCTGTCTATACACTAGATAACTACTGTACCTGGTAGAATGGAAGTGATGGAAGTAGAGAGGAAACAGGGCTTTCAACTTTTATTGAACTTTGACTATGTAACAGGCGCTATGCCATGCACCTTATAGGTAATAGCCCACTTTATTCTCCTATACCTTATAGCATAGGTATTATTTTTATCCTCATTTTATCTCTGAATACAGAAAGTACAGAAAGGTTAGGTAAGTGACTCCAGGATTACACAACTAATGGCAGAGCTAGAATTTGAACCCAGGCACCATAGCTTAAGAGTGTGTGTTTATTCACTCAATTCATAAGCACTTTTATACCTTAGTGTAGATCAGGTATGATTTTAGGCTCTAATGTTGCAGTGAATGTATACTTAATGATTGTACCGTAAGAGGCTTAGTCGGGGTATTCACTGATTGATATATAGAAGTAGACATATGATATTGGTGGTTGAGTCATTTCAGTGAAAAGAATGACTTCTCTAAAGCACCGTTTTTAGTTTTCAGATTTTACATGCTATACCAATTCATCTTCAACTAAATGAAAACAATTGCAAAGTGACTAGGAAATAGTCAATTATTGTTTGAGCTGCCAAGCTTCAGGAATTAGCATTCTAGAATTTGCAAAAATGTTAAGTCAGAAAAAAATAAGTTCTAAAACATCATTTCAATGGCTTTTGAAAATCTGCCAGATATTAATAATTGTGTTATAATATAAATTTTGAAATCTTAGAATTTTAGAGCTGGATGGGAACTTTGGAATCATCTGTACCACTACCTGCCTCCTACCAGCAGTGTCCAGACATTTTAAAAACAAGATTTTTGACAAATGTTCTTTTAACATTTGCACCATCAACAGAAACAGTCATAGATTTCTTTATACGATCACAGAACTTTGTGCCTATAGCTACTAAAATATTTGGACATCTAGCCAATGCAATTAATCCAGCAGGATTTCTTGTCACCCTTTCCTGGCTCTTTCTCATGCCTACATTTGAGGAATTTGCTTGATATTTTGAAGCTATTCCTTTAGGTATTCCTCCAGTATGTGACTGAAGCAGCACTGGAGTATCTTCAGGCTTCTAGAGCAGGGCTTGAGAAATTTGTTCCGGGGCCTCTGTTGGACTCGGTGACTTTCCAGAGGGTCAGCTTAAGGAGTGTTGCTGAATCTGTGGTGCATTCCCAGTCCTGGAAAGCTGGCTTAATTCTGCTTTATAAAAGAACAGTAAATGGCCCCCTCCAGAGGGACTTCAGAGGTTGTATATTCCATTCTTTTACCCACACCATATCACCTGTCTTAAAAGAATGGGCATCGGTAGTTAAACTAATTGGCAATTCTTCTCTGACTTGACAATGGATGGCATTTAGGACTGAACCTAAGGCTTGCATTTGTTGTTTTAGGGTAAGATTTCCTAATTCCTTTAAGTCTTCCTGTATGCCCTTAATGAGAAGGGGTGGCCGCCCATAAAGAATTTTATTTATTTTTTATTTTATTTTATTTTTTTTGAGTTGAAGTCTCACTCTGTCACCCAGACTGGAGTGCAGTGGCGGCTCCCGGCCACCGCAGCCTCAACCTGCTGGGTTCCAGCGATCCTTCCGCCTCAGCCTTCCAAGTAGCTGGAATTACAGGCATGCACTACCACGCCTGGCTGATTTTGTGATTTTATTGTAGAGATGAGGTCTTGCTGCCCAGGTGGGTCGCGAACCCACGGGCTCAGGCAATCCACTCACCTCAGCCTCCCAAAGGCATAAAGAATTTTAAAAGGCGAGAAGCCTGTTTAATTCATTTGAAGGCCTGTTTCTGGGTCTCTTCCCATAGCAGGGGCTCCTGTTCACCTCCCTTTGAGGTTTCATAGAGGGATTTCATCATGATAGAGAAGTTAGGTACTTAAATTCTATAGACTAGTATAGGAACAGGACCACCCTTAGGGTTCTTTTCTCTTTTCTTACAGTTGTTGGTTGGGTCCTTCCTTTCTTCAATTTTTAGCAGCACTTACTCCTCTGGGATGTTTGTTTTTCTTGGTCCAGTAAGTTTCTAGGGAAGTAAGCTTATAAACTGTGATTAAAATTTGTCCCAAATGGACAACACATTTCCTTATGAACATTTATGCTTGTGGCTCTATTCCCTCCAGAGGTATAGGAAAAAGGTCTACCATTAAACAATTTCGAAGTTTTAACGAATCCCATTTCAGAGACTTGGATCCTGAGACTTGGATGCAATACCAAATACCTATGTTTAGTTTACTTGTGTCTCCAAAGGAGTTCTAGTGATTATTATGCTAAACCGCAAATTGAAAGATTGTACTGTCCTAGTCCTACATCTTATGGAGTTTTCTTTGGATTTGCCAAGGGATGGGATAGGTTGCCACTCGGCCTGCAGTAGAAATGTTTCAATGTCTTTTAAAACCTACCTATAGGAAATTTATCTATGTCTAGCCTGTGCTAGCTACCCTGCCTCAATGATTCATTCTTTAGATATTTTCTGATCCCATAATCATATGGGGTGCTGAGGGGTGAAGGTCCATTTTCTGCAATTTCTTCAGAGCTGATAATGGGCATAGTCCTGCCTAGCCAGAGATCAAAAATCTCTCCTGGTCTGACTCCCTGTCCAGATTTGTTTCAGCAGTGGCATTGTGTGCAGGCACTAACTGGAATTCTTGCATGACTGTTATGTGGGCATGAAATTACTGGATTCTGGCTCAATAAA